TGCTAAACTGTGCAAAACGTTCCTTTTATTTAGACTATACGCGTGACTTAGGCTACAATGACATAAATGTGTGACATAAATGTGTGACAGCTAGCGTTATACAGTGCATCAATGCCAAATTGTGCAAAATATGTATTTTCTGGAAACTGACGAAATTAATTAGTTATTAAATATACATGTTTATGGAGTGTAATTGAAAATGTACTCATTTAATTTTGTTTACCAATTTATATAAAGTTTTAATTTAAGTTGCATACCCTAAATTAAAATGGAATCAACCCAAAAGGAATGTATTCCATGTTTCTCAGGGTATAAAATGGCTAGCTCTTCGCGATGTCTTACTCTGTCAGCATGGATTTTCAAGCAGTGCGACTTTATTTACAACATGGCAGGTACAGAAGACGAACAACCAACCATCAGAAAAGAGCAATAAGGAGAAGCGCTGCAAACCATTATAAATTAATTATAAGTTTTATACATTTATACTCGTTTAACTTCAAGACTGTTTAATAAAAGCGCAACTTACATGTACATTTAAGGTACATATTTATATTTCTGTTTAGCTTGAAAGCGGCTGCTTATATTACAGAGCTGTAAGAAAGATAGTGGAAGTAGAGAGGGAGAAGGGGAGATGGAGGAAAGTAGTAGAAAGCGAAGATAAGAAAACTGCCTTGTTACAAGAAATGCACGACAAAGAGAAAATGACATTGAGGAGAAAAAACAATTACTATACTGATTAATAAAATTAACTTTTTTGTAAAATCAGGAAGTTCACCAAAGGCACTTATGTATTCTGAATAAATTTATATTTCTTAAGTGATGTTCTTTCTCAATTGCATACAAAAGATAATCCTGCAAATTAAAGTTTATGAAATGCGAACAATGCACATTTATACTACGCGTAACACTTTAACAGAGGGTAATAATGTTTATTTTACCTGTAATCCTTATAATTCTTCCCTCCGTATTAGTTAACATCATGTCCAATGTCATTTTTAAATTGCATGTTTTAAGTGTGAGATTTCATTATTGCTCTTCAATGCGGACTTTCAGTATTAAAACGTAGGGTCCTAGGACTTTCCGTACTGAAATAGAGTGTCTAGGGGGACTCTACATTTCAGAACATAGAGTCCGGGACCCGTTATTTCGAGACAGGGAGTCCGCCGGACTCTCAGTTTTAAAACACCGGGTCCGCCGGACCCTAGAATGGTAGGACTCTGTGTTGCTTGACACCGGAACCACGCAAAATTTAGTAATGAATTATTTCATTTTAATGACTAGACACAGTTATAATTGATTTACTTCTAGTTATTATCTTGGGTTAAAATAGACATATTTTGTTATATAAATCAATACCAAATGAGAAAATTTTGTAATATTGCTGTTATAAAGTACCTGCTTTCCTCAAAATCATTGCAGTTATTTTAGGATATATCAAAGAATGAAATGATTTTAAATTTTTTTTTTATTAAATGTTGATCACATTTTTGGTTTCTTATTCAGACCATTACTTACTTTCTTAGAACTGATTGTTGTGAGTTTACATAATAGAAAAGCGACCCGATTTCTGTTTTAATATCATTCCGTGTGAAACATCAACTTTGATCTTAAAATCACTTAATAGAAAAGTTGTTGCTTTGAGCTAAACGAACATTGCGCAATTCGTCTTTGAAGAACCAAAATGATATAAAAATGTATTATGATATGATATTATGAAATGATATAACTAAAATATATATTATTGTCAGAGATAATGAAAATCTCGTTAAAATCATGTATTATACCGTTATCGATAACCTAAAATATCATCTTTGAAATAACTCTTGTTCTAATTTCGTACAAAGTTACAGATATATGCTTATTTATTGAATTGTAACATATGCCTACAATTTTTATGACTAATATCTTCGATTCAGAGGTTGGCAACCAGCTGCACCGAGTCTTCAGTATTATTCTTTGCATCGCCAATATTTCCACTCCTATTTCACTCCATGATTCCAGTACTATGCTAACACAACAGTGCTTACTACGTATAGCAGCCTTGCCTCAGTTCTACCACAAAATTACATATGAGCCTTAAGTACGGATGTATCAACCGAGTTTATTGTATATGCGTGCGTGGGGGTCTATTCCCGTTATCAGTCTCTCTGTCCCGGTGATAGTTAAGGAAGGACAAGTCACTGATTTTCCAGTAAAGTATCTATTTCGTGAATGAAACAATTGGAAAATACACTCCAATCTAGTAGCAACTGCCTAGAAAGTAGCTATGCGAAATAAGCAGCTGCAGATCACTGTAGCCGACAATACGTTAGTCCCACGAAGAACTGTAGCGAATAAGTAAATACAGACTTGACATTTAATATGGAATATTTCAGTTTCAACGGTATGCTTAGGTAAAAATGCGTTCTTTTTTCATAAAACTCAGATCTCATATAAGACATCTGACTGGAGAAGTGTGAAGTCAGGTGTGTCGCTACCAATTAACTGACTACCAAGTCTGTTGCACTGCTGCATTGTGTAATATGCAGTGATTGAATTGGGTAGTGCTCCTTTGGCCTGGTCTAAGCTGGGCTTTGGCAAAGCATGGTTCCGTCAAAAAAGTATCCATATGTCGGCAACTACTGCATAGAAGAATTTGAAATTTTGCATGCAAGCGGTCGGTTTTGCAGTGCGTAAAATAAGTTCAACAATGTTTTACAAAGTTGTTAATCTGTGCCAGAATGGCGCGAAAAAGACAGACATTGCAAGACAGATCATTGTGTCAAACGGAATGGTCTGCACAGTTCTATGGAGTTATGCCCAGACTGATGTATCTACACAGAGACCACGCCCAATGTATTGACATTTTACCACCAGGGCACAGGACTCACTGTCCTTCAGGATATGCTGCTGCAACTAAACAAAAGTCACCCAGTCCGTTCAGAATGAGGGGCAAATTGTGACCAAAACGCGTTTTTCAAGGCTCTTAGCGAATACAGACATCCTGAATTGGCCTACGACAAGGCGTGTGCCGCTTCTAAAGTGACTAGGGTCATTGGCATCGTCAGTATGTGGAGTGGATACCACATTGGTGCCAAAACACCAATGGTAGTCATTGATGAAAACCTAAACCAGATGAAATAAAGGAATAATCTAGGAACCATTTGACTATCATTTGATAGGGGCCACCTTAGGAACAATTTTAGGTTGCACGATGAGATTACCCGTTCACACAGAGCACTTTTAATAGCAGTTAACTTACAGAACCAAGAGATTGAGCAGATACATTGGTCATCAAAATCGCCATATTTGAACCACATAGACAATACGTAGGTAGGTTATTACTCGCCGAATCAACGGCCTGTATGTCCTACAACGATTCTGAACCAAATTGGACAAGTGTTGACCGTTGCCTGGAATATTTTTCCAGATTAAACTCTAAAAACCTATCCTAAGGAATGCCTTGCAGCTTGAAACCTCTTGTAGCAGCCAGATGAGGTCAGGTGTAACAGCGACCGTTGCTGTGGCAAGACACTGACATGGGGGTCCTTTGTGGGACGTGTAACTCTTTTAAAGACGATAATTTGGAAAATATGGAGATCCAAAATATCGCTTTCAGTGGTTGTCGAACGACTTAAAATAGGCAATGCATTTTTGTTTGCTTCACTGGCGAATTTAATTAATGAACTGATGTCACAATGACATCAAAAAGATAAATAAAAGTTATTAAAACATGATTTTAATCCCTATTTTCATTTATCAGTCAGCAAAATAGGAAAAAACTGATGAAAAATAATTTGGAAAAAAATATTCCATATTAAATGTCAAGTCTGTAGTAAGTCAGTTAGTCAATAAGTAAGAAGGTAAGTGTAAGTAAGTGTTAAAAGAGAGCCAGTGGTCTCTTTTTATACCCTTTTGACTACCACGCCCAAACGATAGCCAAACCCCAACTATCACGTGGTGTGTCTTATGTATGTTCTATTTCCAAATTTCCTTTTAAAGGTGCCAAATATATAACTCCAAGCAGCTTACTCTCTGTACCTCTAAGAGTTGCCTATTTCGAACTTTCTTTGGTTCGTATAGTAAACTGATCTATTTTTACAATTATATATCACTGATCAAATTATTTCCATTGCAGGATCCATCAAAGCAATACCCTGGTTTGATGATTACCTGATACTTAAATCCTAAGCTATATCTATAAACTATATCACCCACACACCTGAGAAATCAATCATGTTAAATTCTCCATCAGAAAGGTATACAGGTTGATAAATAAAACCTTTACTGTTTGTTTTTGTTTTCTGTAAGTATCGACATTCCATTCTTTTTTAAAAAAGCACACGCCTAAATAAAATCAGTATAATAGATGTACTTATTTCTTATGCTTTGTTTATTTCTTTTAATGTTTTGTTAAACAAATTGGTAAAAACGCCGATAAATAAACCCGTTTCATTGCTGTGCATGTATCTTCATGTAATTGTTCTGTAGTGAACAATAAAAAAAGAAGATGGATGCACAGAAATGAAGAAGGACTTAATCAGCGATGTATTATTACTATTTATTGCCACGTTTTCAACCACTGAGCTATATCAACAAATCAGTTTTTGCAACCTCTGATAGTTGCAAGGATTTTTGTCCTGTGTGACCGTAACCACACAGGCCCTACGGCCTCAGAGACCAATTATTAAAGAAAAAACACTATGAAGGGATATTTTATATTTTCTTTGCGTTCACACGGATGCGACAGTGACAGTCTTTCATCAGTTATACTTCCGGTTAAGCACGCGCTCTTTTGTTCTCATAAGAGAGTAATGTGAACATCATGGCGGGAGTTCGATTAGCGATAAATGTAAAGCTGCACAATTTTTTTTTATTTTTCTCGTGTCAAGAAAAAAATCCACTAGAACAAATGCATCAGAATTTCAGCAACGGCTTGGCATCCCATTACTGAATGGGTATTCCCAAACCTGCACCGATCCCATCGGACCCTGAAGTTGCATTCCTTGCACTAGCTTTCTTCGTTCCACCGGTTTGTGTAGAGGTCGTACTGTCAACTGACAGATCTGGGTTCATTCCAGAATATGTTTGTTTTTTTTTTTGCTGCGTGTATAATCAACGACATATGTAGGCTAAAGAATTGCGATCCAATCTATCGATGCTGGATACGTTAAAAGCACACTGGGTGATCAACAAGATAGCAGTAATGTTAAATTCTTGAAAACTTGTTGACGTGGAGTACTCGAAATAACAAACTAATTATCCAAATTAACGTGACTGTTACAGCAGCATGTCCTACCATGACTCTTGGTGTTCTTGTTCACCAGCTCTCAATGCATGCAAAGCCGCCGGCGTGTTTTGGTAATTTCCTGCTCAGCGGCAGTAAATTAGCCTCTTCCAACGACTGTCTGAGATATATAATTGACCAGTTCTGTGCTACGACTGCACAGTGATTTTGTATTCAGAACCAAGATGATCATCAACTTGCAGCCGTTTAGGAAACACAAAATCTGGGGTCGTTTGCATCAATGTTTTNTGATCAACAAGATAGCAGTAATGTTAAATTCTTGAAAACTTGTTGACGTGGAGTACTCGAAATAACAAACTAATTATCCAAATTAACGTGACTGTTACAGCAGCATGTCCTACCATGACTCTTGGTGTTCTTGTTCACCAGCTCTCAATGCATGCAAAGCCGCCGGCGTGTTTTGGTAATTTCCTGCTCAGCGGCAGTAAATTAGCCTCTTCCAACGACTGTCTGAGATATATAATTGACCAGTTCTGTGCTACGACTGCACAGTGATTTTGTATTCAGAACCAAGATGATCATCAACTTGCAGCCGTTTAGGAAACACAAAATCTGGGGTCGTTTGCATCAATGTTTTAGGCATAAATCGTGCATTTTTCTTGAAGCCAAAAAGATAACTGAAAATGAAAATGATATAAGTTTTAGGTTGTTTTAGCCCGCAATGCTTGCCAAATGATTTGCATCGATGTTTCCCGGAAATTAAGGATAAGATGGTAGGGTATAAATGATAGATTTACACATGAAATTATTTCAAGGTGAAAAATATGCGTTAACCAAAAATGTACCAACTGTCAGCCTGGTTTTTGTAAGTTTATATCGACTAACTGTCAACCATGATGGAACCCATAGCCCCTCTCTGGGATCCTGATATTTTTTCATTTTCAGTCGCTCCCGTCGATGCACAAAAATATGTCCCCAAGGTGTCAGCGAATCCCGACTACCTGCTAGCGGCCTCATACGACCTTTGGTAACGAATTTGTGTCTGAAGTGGGTTGAATTTGCCAAAAGGTTGTTAGCACATTGCCACCGAGGCTGTAGGAACAGTACTCCTGAAGGGCTCAAATAGTTTGGTCGAGTTTTGTCCCACGGGCATCAAATCCCAGTAACGCATTCCCCAGGACGTCAGTTTTTATGGAAACGCGTCCCTCTACCAAGACAACAAATTAATCTCACTTATGCTCTTGCTAATTGATGACACAAATCTTTGATTTTTTTTCATGCGTTTCAAGGGCCGGCATCCGTTTTGTACGATTTTGGACTGTAATGTTTAAGATATCATCACAAGCGTGGTGCAAAAAGTAGAAAGTCAAAAGATTTTGTGTCCTACGAAAAGACCCCAATACCTTCCGTGTTCCCCTAGCCTTCACCGATCCCATCGGACCCTCAAGTTGCATTTCTTACACTACCATTTT